GGAAACAAGATAATGCATGATACTCAGTGTGGGTTTTCTCCGTTCTGCTGTAATCCGTACCACTACACTCTCCCCACATGCAGCTGTGACTCCTGTTGATAACTTGGATGAAACTTACCTAAGGTGGGTGACTTCTTGCTTCTCTCTTCCTCAGAACCTCTTCATCTCTGTTCAACACAGCATCTGTACACTTGTAGATTGACCTAACTTTGGTTACTTCTCTCAGTTAATATTGACCTACACGAGGACTCTCTTTTCTCCTTACATTCTTTCTGTTGTATATTAAAGATCTTACTGTAACCTCACACTGTACAAACTCATTATGTCCACAACACCAGTCTCTATACGCGGCAACTATCTTATAGGAGAACGGTCTTCTTACCATGCCTCCACCCGTTCCTGCACATCGTCTCCACACCACCTGTCACCTCCACTCTGAAACTCAATCAAGCAAGTGTATTTAGCCAATCTTCGTTATTAATACATCTGAAATTATTTTTCCATTGGAACTTTAAGACAACCTATAAATTAAAAGTTTTCTATAAATCTTTGAACTTGCCAACAGGATAAATAATTAATTGTCTTTGTTATTTATTCCTATAGTTATTGTTCCTCTCAGTTACTTATCACTTAAAAAAATATTTCGCCATAAAATCAAATACCACACCCTTCCGTCATGCAGTAACCCCCCCCCCCTCCACCCCGCAGTTTTCTTCCTGCCCTAAGTTGGGTTAAGTCCAGCTTTGAGTTAACAGTGTTGGCGATAATGTGTCTTATCTATAGAAAATGATAAACATAAGCTGAGATAGAAAACAAAAATAAATCAACGTGAAATAGTGCCCTCACAACAACCTTCTTCCCAGCCAGACTGAACCTGACACACGACATTGTTTACACTTCATAGTGGCCAAGCTGTGCCCTCCAATTGTCAACACTGATCTGAATCATCAGTCGATAATACTGAACCTACACCTCGGTCTTGCCTTAGCCAACATCAAATCTGATTACATGTGGGTGATTTAACGTGACTCCAGGTTAGATGACGCAGTAGGATACAAAGATCCGCGACGTGACCAGGATTTGTGAGCACCTGTAACCTCCGTGTCCGTCTGGAGAACTCTGAAACTGCACATCTTTGTTGTTGTTATAATGTTATTACTGCAGTTCAACGGCGAAGGTCTGAAGCGCGTAACAAAGTCAGTATACACTAGTCCAACAACATTTAAAAGATTATGAGATAAAACTCTTTAGGGTTAATCTCGTACAGTATACCGCTACCAGTCATAACACGTAGTCTACACATAATGTATCACTGAAACCCAACTGTAGATGATGATAAAGCAGAAAACACGAGAGTACGGTGTTGTCGTTATACTGTGCTTTGCCTTCTACAGCTCTCTTAAGTCCTAACACTGCCAAATTGACAACAGCAACCACGAAATAGATTACAATAATATACTATACTTCCAACTTAACTTCTTTCACAGTTCAGTAAATAAACATATATTTGCAGAACGTCATGTGTTTGTGGAGATGTATTACAACACGTCAACTGTGACTCCGGATGATGGTAGGAGAGACACTCGTAGGTTGAGGTTCCTGTATCCGGTCTGATCTGGTCTGTGCTCTGCTTTGTCTTGGTCTGATCTGTGCTCTTGTAATTTACACTCCCACAATCATTGATATACAGCTAATTTACACTCACCCACTCATTGTTAAGCAGTAATTACACTCACCCACTCAATGTTAAGCAGTAATTAGACTCACCCACTCATTGTTAAGCAGTAATTACACTCACCCACTCATTGTTAAGCAGTAATTACACTCATTGTTAAGCAGTAATTACACTCACCCACTCAATGTTAAGCAGTAATTACACTCACCCACTCATTGTTAAGCAGTAATTAGACTCACCCACTCATTGTTAAGCAGTAATTACACTCACCCACTCATTGTTAAGCAGTAATTGCACTCACCCACTCATTGTTAAGCAGTAATTACACTCACCCACTCATGGTTAAGCAGTAATTACACTCTCACCAGTATAACTTGCTCTCACTTTATAAGTAATACACGTATCTTGTAGAATTTCCACTCCCCCCCCCCCTGGAAAAAAATAGTTACGCTCCCTATCGGCGCCTCAGTACACAGTGAACACAATAATCTTGTCGAGAGAAAGTGTAGGTTCAGTAAGTACGCTCAAGATAGATGTGATTATAACGTCACACTGTTGGCGCTCACGCTGGCAGTATACAGGGTACATGATCAGTGTGACGCAGTTTGGTGTTGATCACGGCGTTTTGTAGTTGGATTCAGGAAATATATGTTATTTTGCTTCGAGGCAACCCGCCAGAATAGAAAAAAAATACCGTATGTAGAAATAGAATGGTTGGAAAGTGTAAATTGAACACCATACTACAGCCAGGAGGGTGGGAGTGAGTGGAAGGGGCGGGAGAAAGTGAGACGGAAGCGTGAAAGAGAAGATAGTTGTAGAATATATTGGTGTACGGTACTTGTTTTGTTTTTCTAATTATTTCAAGTGATTTGGAGGTAGTGTCACCCCCCAACCCTCCCATACCTACTATACCACGCCTCTGTTTACACCTTCAGATTGTTACAAGAAAAAAAATGTCATTAGTTAGGGAAAAAATCATGAAAATTGAAGCAACATTGAATAACTTGAATGAAATGATTACTTAACACATTAAACAGGTGCTACATTACCCCAAAATAGTGTAAGGAAGTCAAGAAGAGGAGGAACACTTGGCCGAATACCTTGTGTAGAGAGAGGCTATAGGTAACGGGTCCCTCACTAGGTGGCGGAGTGTTCAGAAAGTGAAAGTAGACAAAAATAATAGGTTTAGCTCCTAGAAAGTTAACGTTTATATTACTTACTGCTCTCGGTTCCATCAACAGATAGTTATGATTCTAGCAATATTACGTAACTTCTAG